TTAATTTTGCTTAGATTTCAAGTATTAGGTTCAAGCTTCAGGTCTAAACTACGTTTCAAATCAATTTGACTAACTAAAAACTTTCAACTTTCGATGTTAATTTTCAACAGCATGAGAAACCCACAACAGCCTCAAAAACAGTCATTTAATCTGGTGAATTGAATAATTTACTCATATTTATATTTCCATTTGATCTGTTTTTAAGAGCCTGAAAAATTGAGTTGCAAATTTGAACAAAGTTTTTGAGTGATTCTGAGTTTATCTGAAAAAATCTATTGTTAATCAAGTTTTTTGTTACAGCTTTCAAAGAAACCGACGGATTGCTTTTGTCTGGGCTGAGTTTTTTACTTAAACAATTTTCGACTGCTTAATTAAGTGCTTTTGTAAAATTTTATTGCGATCTGAAGGTTATTGTCTCAAGCTCTAAAGTAATTTTCTAAAACAAATGACATTTTTTTGATTTTTTTGCAAACTTATGAGGTTTAAAAATTGACAGTTTGGGATAAATAATGCGCAACATATTCATTTCTGATGAAGTGTAACTGGCAAATTTAATCATTCCAAATTTGACTGTGACAAAAATTTTCTTTGAGCCAAACGCTGCCAGACGCTAATATTATTGTTTTTTTGTGTGTGTTCCATAATGCGTATGAGCGTGGTAAAATTCAGAAAGCTTTAATAGAAGGTATTTTCTCTGATCTGAGCAGTTTTGTTGTTCCGACTTTCGATACGAAAGTAACGGAATATTTGTGCTCGGGGTGGGTTTTTTTTTCTTCGGACAAATTTCGACTTTTTAACTAGCCATTTTTGACGGAATTTTTTTTATATCATTCGAAAGCTATTGTTGTCCTGAGCTCAAATTTGAAAAGATATTTTACCTGTGATCTTTTTTGGTAAAGTTATGGGGGTTTAAAGATTGCCATTTTGGCCAATTTGGGACAATTAACCCGCGATATATTTCGCGCTATTAACGTGTAAGCGGAGATTTAATCAGTCTTAAAATCGTTCCAAATTGGTTGAAAGAAGCTTATTTGCCATAATTGATTTGTTAAAAGGAGCTAAATATATCTTAGAAGAAAAATTTTTTCATTTTTTTTTATTACATTTAATTTTTCGATGTTTTTACTGCTCCATAAAACCTTAAAAGGCAGTCGGAACATTCAAGGCTTCGCCCTGATACGAGCGGTCTTGTTTTATTTTGTTACTTAGAATTGGCTGTCATTTAGGGCTAATACCTTTTTTCGGATACTTGACCTGCCGTTGTATTTTTAGATTTGTAAAAAGGTTGATCAGAGGTTTCTATAAAACTTGGATTATTGTTACATTTTGGTTCCGGTTTTTTTTTGTGTTTTAGACTCTGACAAAAGAAAGAAAAACTTCAATGAGTTAAGATCAGCGTGCGTTCTTTTGTTCGAACTTTTGTTTTGTTCGCAATAAATAAACTTTTACTATACTGGAACGCGTTTTTGGGATTTCCGAACTTTTAAAATTATGTTTTCATCAAATTTGGACACTTATGTTGGGATTCTCTAATAATTTTTTGCAATCTTCTTCATTTTTATCATTCTTATCGCCTTTTTTGTAGTACACTGTACAGTCCAATGTTACATTTCTCTTTTTTCTCTCTCTCTCTTCCTCTCATCTCTCTTCTTCCTTGGTTTAGAGATCCATTTTCACTGAAAAAGATATAAGTTTTTGAATGTCTGCTTGACGATTGGAAGCATGGCTGTTCATTGGCACTAAGTAGTTGTTGCTAAGTGTCTTGCTGAGCGTTCGACTCAAAACATGGCTGTACTGTTATGGTTTTGCGCGAGCTAGCCTGATAAACTTACTTTGAAAAAAAATAATAGTGAAAACGCTTGTTTATGCGGAAGCATTATTTAAGCTAAATTTGAACAGCTGACAACTTTGCTCAGCAAACTCTTTAATTTTGAAAAATCATGAATCAGTGATCTTTTTTTTCTCAAAGACAATCTTCTATGTCTCAACCAACCTTAAAATTGGTCAAAAAAATTGAACTTTATTCTTTTGTTTTCTTTTGTCTGATTTTTGAAATTTTTCTGTATTTGTCATTTGCTGGGTCAACTTTGCTGGGCTATGTAGGAGGCTTCTTGTGATATAAGTTTCTCATCAATTAAAAAAGTAGTTTCAGTGTAATTCTTGATTAATTGAAAAAAGCCAAAATTACCCATTTTTGGGTTAAAATTTTGGTTGAGAATTTCGGAGAAAAAATTGCACCATAATAATTTTGATAAAATTCTAAGCAACTTTTGTTCTCTTCACTTTTTGTCTAATCTTAACCCAATTTGAGAAAAATGCGTTTGAAAATTCAAGTTTTGTTCGTTTTGTCCGGATAATTTAAATCAGCACTGTATAACTTATATTGGTAGGTATAACTGTCATGCAATTTTTTTTGTCAAAGCTTCCATTAAGTTCCCGAAAACTTATGTTTCCACGACAATGTTAAAGACTGATATTTGGCCAGAAAAATTGTATCGAGGCAACATACTGATACAAACACAACGTTCCGACTGATGGACGAGGTATCTGAAGTAGGTTTCGTTATAAATATTGATAAAGTGATCAAAAATGATAAATTGAAAATGTGATAAATGATATGTTATCATTCCGCAACGCAATATTTGGATCAACTAGTTTGCCTCAATTCAATCAGAAACTCATTGCGCGTTATTGTTCCGACTTTCGATACGAAAGTAACGGAATATTTGTGCTCGGGGTGGGTTTTTTTTCTTCAGACAAATTTCTACTTTTTAACTAGCCATTTTTGACGGAATTTTTCAATTTCATTCGAAAACAATTGATGTCCTGAGCTTAAATTTGAACAGATATTTCACCTGTGATCATTTTTCATAAAGTTATGGGGGTTTAAGGACTGCCATTTTTGCCAATTTGGGACAATTAAAGGGCGATAAATTTCGCGCTATTAACGCGTTAGCGAGATTTAATCCGTCTTAGAAATCGTTCCAAATTGGTTCAAGGATGCTTTTATGCCATAATTGATTTGTTAATAGGCGCAAAATCTATCACTTTGTAGTTAATATGACGTGTGGGGGGATGTTTTTACATTAAATCTCAAATTTTTTCAATTTTTTTTCTATTACATTGAAAATTTTCATGTTTTTAATGCTCCATAGACCTTAAAAGGCAGTCGGAACATTCAAGGCTTCGCCCTGATATGAGCAGTCTTGTTTTTCCGACTTTCGATACGAAAGTAACGGAATATTTGTGCTCGGGGTGGGTTTTTTTTCCTTCAGACAAATTTCGACTTTTTAACTAGCCATTTTTGACGGATTTTTTTTTATCATTCGAAAGGTATTGTTGTCCTGAGCTCAAATTTGGAAAGATATTTCACCTGTGATCTTTTTCTCGTAAAGTTATGGGGATTTAAAGATTGCCATTTTGGCCAATTTGGGACAATTAACGCGCGATATAATTCGCGTTATTAACGCGTAAGCGGAGAGGAGAGTTAATCCATCTTAGAAATCGTTCCAAATTGGTTAAAAGAAGCCTATTTGCCATAATCGGTTTGTTACAAGGAGCGAAATCTATCCTTTTGTACTTTATATGGCGTGTGGGGTGATGATTTTTATTTTAAAATTTCAACTTTTAGAAAACATTTTTTTTCCATTTTGTTTTATTTCATTGAATTTTTTAATGTTATTACTGCTCCATAAACCTTAAAAGGCAGTCGGAACATTCATGGCTTCGCCCCGATACGAACAGTCTTGTATTATTTTGCTGCCTACATTACGCTGTTAGACAATCTGGTAAGTATCGCTTTTTATTATAACCCCACCCCCATTGTTTTGCAAAAATTGTCATCTTTGAATTAATAATTTCTTTTTTGAACTCGAGTGTTCTGTACATTTTATACTGTATGTGGAAAATTCATCAAAAAGACAGCTGGTTGAAACTTTAGAAACTGCTCAGACAAAGAATCACCGGAACTCTTTTTTTCTGTATTCTTCTTCATCAGGTGGAAAATAAATGAAATTGTTCCAAGTTGTGCCTAACAAAATAAAACTTATCAAAAGAGCACCAATTTGACCAAGCACAGAAGGTATTTTAACCTACCATTGAAGGTGAGAACTTTCTATTAAATACCATTTTATCCAGAACTTATTGGTCAATCCACGAACTATTTCTCCAAATAAAAAAGAAAATGATGGATTCGAGAAAAAATTAAGTTTCGAACTTTATTTTTCATTTTTCTTGCATCTTTTTAACAGGTTTTTAAGGATTGAATTTGAAAATAAATTTCAGATGTGCATTTTTCTTGTTTTAATTGCTTTAGTTTAATTATAACAAACGATTTTTGATTCAATGATTTCTGAATGCCTCAATGCTTTATTACTAAAACAGTTTGTTAAAGAAGTCGCTTAAGTAGTTGCTAAAGTAATCAATCATTTAATTATCTCTTATTTGATGCATTAGGTTGTCTTAAGACTGTTTAGTCTCAATTAAAATTTCTTCAACGATATTCATTTTGAAATTATTTGAAGAGTGATCTAGTGTCCGATCTGCACAGAAATTAATTTAATTGTCCCTACCTCTTTTTTGTGTGTTTTTTTTGAATCTTTTTAAAGCAATTGGTTCTCATTTTATCAGTTTTATTTGAGCAAAACTTGGATAGATATCCATATCATGCAAATTTAAGAATCAGACCAATCAATAGAAATCCGTTTTTTAACCCTGCTTCGTTTTTTGATGGTGAGGTAGATCAAAACGCTCGAAAATCGTTTTCAGAACTTGCAGCCGTTCCAGAAAAGGTCAATTTTAATCTTAAGTTCGGCTCAGCTGCGGATAACACAGCTTTTTAAGTGCAGGATGCTTTAAAAACCAATAGTCAATATACTAATATCCTGCACCTGTTAGTATAATGATAAGCAATATACTTTTGAATTGTTTCATAAACAATCATTTTTTTTCAGTTATGAAACTGAAAAGAGGTTTAATCAAGCCACCATTCTACACTAATTCCTTTTTTGTTGCTTCAAAATCAGAGCAAAACAGCACGAAATTGTTTTTAACATTATATAAAGAAAAAATTATATTTACTGCAAAGCGTGAGTTTTCTCAATATAGATCTACGCATAGGTCAGTGTTCACCAAAACAACTACTCGTTATCAAAGGTTTGTGTACTTCTGTCATTGATTTATTTGCAGGTCGCTCAGTATCTGAATTATCAAACCTTTGCTAAAATAAGTACAATTATCGATCCAAAATGGCAATTGAAATTACCGAAACGAATCATCGATTTGAAAAAGTCGAGGGCGAGTATTTAGCAAACGGATTTCTCATGTTCAATTTCTACGGCCGCGATTACATGAAGAAAATCCCCGATTTCCCTTGGGACCCCAAAGATACCCTACTCGCGACTTACCCAAGAAGTGGGACTACTTTCACGCAGCGTATTGTTTCCGGCTTGAAGTTTGGCCCTGAAGCAATTTCGGATCAAAATTTTGACCTTTTCGAGCATTTTCCTCATTTGGATTTGAACTGTTTCCACGAAAATTTAAATTATTGTGGATACGACAAAGCTCTCGCAAAAGAACCTCCGAGGTTTGTGAAAACGCACGTTCCCCTGTCAGTAGCGCCGAAAAGTGTTGACGAGTTCGGAAAAGTGATCTATGTGTTACGTAATCCACGAGACGTGCTCGTGAGTCTGTTCCATTTCAATAAGAACGACACGACAATTAAGTTCAACTTCGACTTCGACACTTTCTTCGAGATGTTTCTGGAAGGATGCGTGATGAATGGCCATTGGTTCAGGTAAAAAAACATTTGGCTCTTTTCCAGTTTCCCCCCTTTTCAAAATACCGAGTTTTATGTTTGATTTACGTGTTATTACGGCTAAATGCGTGATGTTATGCGGTAAAGTATGAAGAACAAATATGTTCACAGTTGTCGATTTGTTCATCACGCCGAATTGGCTCTTTTTCCTTTTCTCCCCCACCTGCAATTTTTACATGTAAATTTGTTGACCACATTCTCCAATTGTTATGAAAATTTACATACAGACTAAAAAGGCCATGACAAACATATTTGGTCTTCATACTCAACCTCGGAAAACCACTCGCTACACTAATAAGTTGAAACTGGCGTGAGGTGGGGGGGGGGGGGATATGTTTAAAGGGCCATTAGTTTTTCTATCAACAAATGTGATTTGCCCACCTCAACAACAAAGAGGTTTTATAACTTTTTGATCTATGATTGGTGTTTTTCGATAGTTTTGCCCAAGATTGGCATCTTCACGATAAATGCATCTTCACAATAAGAAAATGTTGGGTGAGACTGATATCCTGATAAATTTTGCTCCATGGTGTGCAAGTAGCAAGTGTTGTATCTGATAACGAAGTTAAAGGCGGATGTTGTTCACTAGAAAAAAATTATAAAGTAACAAGGATAACCGGTTACTGTGCAAGTAGCACAGACTGTTCCGACCACAGTCTTACAAAAATCCAAAAAATGGCTCTTTTTCCTTCCCCCCCCCCCACCTCACTCAAACATGAATTTTATGGTCTAACGAGCGGTCTTACAAGGTTAATTATTGCGACCAAATATGTTTTTCATGGCCTAATTAGTCTACATGCCAATTTTCATGGCAATCGGACAAATTGAACGGTAACTTCAAATATAAAAGTTTGCAGGTGGGGGAAAGGAAAAAGAGCCCAAAAAATTTTTACAAATTGGTGTCGTTTTTTTTCTGCATGTGATAAAAAAATCTGAACAAAAAAAATAAATTTAGGCATATTTGACAGTCATAGTAAAAAGATGGCTCTTTTCCAGTCCCCCATTTCAAAATACCGAGTTTTATATTTGTTTTACGTGTTATTACGGCTAAATGCGTAATTTTATGCTGTAAAGTATGAAGAACAAATCTGTTCAGAATTGTCGATTGGTTCACCACGCCAAATTTCCTTGCATTATGAAAACGTTAAATAGACTTCTCATAATTGAATTGGAAAGGGGGGGGGGAACCGGAAAAGAGCCAAATAGATCAATTGGAAAACAGTTTTTGAAGAAAAATGACCAAAGAAACGAAAAATAATTTGAAAAAATTTTGAAATGTTAGAGCAGGGGAGGCTCCAGCAGCAACGGGGGTTGCTTAAAAACTTCAATTTTTTTTCCTTCAAACTTTCAAGTTTTTTATTCCCAAAGTTGCGCTAAAAAACTCTAGAAACTACCTTTGCCGGAATAAAATTAGGTTTTCACGGCTGAAATTAAGCTTAAATAAGCTTTTGTAAGCACATACGGTCACCTTATTAGCTCGAAATTAGACCAAAAATCAAGTTTTTCTCGACACTGGGAAAAATTCTTGAAAGTTTTTCTAATGTTGTTTGAATCACGACTAAAAGGGCTTCAATATGATATATAAATCAACCCAGTCCGACAATTATTTGTAACGCCTGATTTTGCGTGGAAAAAACTAAACTACATCCGAATACAAAGTTCCTCCCCGTTATCAATGGTCGGAACAAATAACTATTTAAAGCTCAGTTCCTGAAAAACATCAAGAAAACGGCTTGTTCAATATTTCCAACACTGAAAATTTCATTTTTAGATACAACTCCGAATGGTTAGACTTCTGCAACCGGAACGCAAATAGAAGCATCATCATCACGTATGAACAATTGCTGAGCAATTTCGAAAACAACGTGACCAAGTTAGCTCAGTTCCTGGAAATACCAGTCACCGATGAGCTCATATCAAAAGTCAAGGTCGAGACAAATGTAGAAAAAATGAGGAAAACTACCATTTGCGGAGGTCAAGATGATTTTGTGCGAAAGGGAATTTCGGGTGATTGGAAGAATCACTTCTCAGCCGAGCAGACTGAAAAGTTTGACTCCTGGGTGGAGAAAATGAAGGAAAAATACCCTAAACAGTTATTCGATCTAATTGGAGAATAGAGAAAAAATTCCGTTCAAGGTCTATTTTCTGCTGCAAGAACTTTGTAAAATTTCGTTTCTGATTTGTACTGGTATTAATTTGAGTAATTGATTATTTACAAGTATTGGCAATTTATAAATATTTACTCTGCTTTCAAATCATTTCTTTTTTACATTATAAGCTTGCAAAGAAACCTGTCAGTATCTTGAAAAACCTAGGTTTCAGGCTTTTTTAGGGAGGGGGGCGTATAGCGGCAGTCGTGAAAGCTTTTTCTTGACAGGAGCCTTAACAAGAAACCTCGGGATCTGGGCTCTTTTTCCTTCCCCCCCCCCCACCTGCAAATTTTTTAGAGTAATTTTTCTGTTCAGATTGTCGGATTGTTATCAAATTTGGCATACGGACTATTTAGGCCCTGACAAACATATTTAGTCTTCATACTCAGCCTTGTAAAACCACTCGTTACACCATGAAGTCTATACTTATGTGAGGTGAGGGGGGGGGGGATAAGGAAAAAGGGCCGGGATCTGTAAAAACCTGGTTGTCAAGATTGCTCGGTGATGTTGAAGATTTTGTTAGAGCCCGGTGATCCCAAGATTTCCTGTCTGGATCCCTAACGAGAGATGTGGCAAGTTTAACTGGATATAGTTCGAAATCAAAAACAGTATAACCTGTCATTTTTGTTTATTCATGGGGTCAGAAAAAAGACAAATTGGAGTTCATGTTTGAGTTGGTAAAAATAAAAAATACTCAGTAGGTCCATATGACTTCAAAATTTTGTTGAAAATTCAATGGAGTCCAACCGATTGCGAGCGTGAAGCGACAATTCGTAACAAGCGACAGTTGGTCGCAGGAGACAATTGCCAGTGTTTTAAGAAGCGATAATTCGTCGGCAAGCATATTGCAAGTAATAAAAAAATGATTCATGAATGCACAACAGCCGAGTAGCCATTGACTTTTAATTGAATCATGGTTCAGTAGACATGAAGAAACTCATCAGCGTTAACCAAACTCATACTCAATTTCATACATAAGTATTGGCAAGTTAGAAATATTTACTCTGCTTTCAAATCATTTCTTTTTTACATTATAAGCTTGCAAAGAAACCTGTCAGTATCTTGAAAAACCTAGGTTTCAGGCTTTTTTAGGGAGGGGGGCGTATAGCGGCAGTCGTGAAAGCTTTTTCTTGACAGGAGCCTTAACAAGAAACCTCGGGATCTGGGCTCTTTTTCCTTCCCCCCCCCCACCTGCAAATTTTTTAGAGTAATTTTTCTGTTCAGATTGTCGGATTGTTATCAAATTTGGCATACGGACTATTTAGGCCCTGACAAACATATTTAGTCTTCATACTCAACCTTGTAAAACCACTCGTTACACCATGAAGTCTATACTTATGTGAGGTGAGGGGGGGGATAAGGAAAAAGAGCCGGGATCTGTAAAAGCCTGGTTGTCAAGATTGCTCGGTGATGTTGAAGATTTTGTTAGAGCCCGGTGATCCCAAGATTTCCTGTCTGGATCCCTAACGAGAGATGTGGCAAGTTTAACTGGATATAGTTCGAAATCAAAAACAGTATAACCTGTCATTTTTGTTTATTCATGGGGTCAGAAAAAAGACAAATTGGAGTTCATGTTTGAGTTGGTAAAAATAAAAAATACTCAATAGGTCCAACTGACTTCAAAATTTTGTTTAAAATTCAATGGAGTCCAACCGATTGCGAGCGTGAAGCGACAATTCGTACCAAGCGACAGTTGGTCGCAGGAGACAATTGCCAGTGTTTTAAGAAGCGATAATTCGTCGGCAAGCATATTGCAAGTAATAAAAAAATGATTCATGAATGCACAACAGCCGAGTAGCCATTGACTTTTAATTGAATGTTTCCGAAACTACTGTGCAAATAACCTTGCTTAAACTTCCTTGTGACAAATTATAATTTTTCTTATTGCGACAAATCGCAGCTTGCAAAGATTTGCTGCCATGCATTTGAAATTACCTAAGCATATTTATACACAATTATCAGTTTGAAAATTATCAGTTTTTTCATGCTTTTTGTCTATTACAATCGTTTCGTGTCGCAGTACCAATCATGGTTCAGTAGACATGAAGAAACTCATCAGCGTTAACCAAACTCATCCTCAATTTCATACATAAGCAAAAGCGTTGCACAGAACACTTTAAAAAAGGTTAAAATTTTGTATGTGTTAGTAGTTGTAGCGAAAAAACTCGGAAATAAAAATTCGGAAATCAATGTCCTCACAATGTTTTGCTTAAAATGGAATTAATAAAAAAGCATCCTTTTATTACCAGGCCAAACGGTGTTCTCATATAATACGATATTTTATATATTTTAGCTGCCTGTCACTGGGTTACGCAAACACGAAAACATCATTGAAAATAGAAGTTTTGAGGATTCAATGACAAAATATTTTCTAGCCTTTTGGCGTAATCCGCTTACTTTTTACAAAATGCTCAGTTGTTCAAAATACACAAAATACAATTATTCAACTTTTTGAAACAAGGAAAATTGTCGTAGTCAACAAGATGTAATATGGCTAACAAAACTGCTCGTATCAAGGCAGAGCTCTGACTGTTCCGACTGCCTTTTTTTGGTCTCAGATAATTTGGTAATTTAAATATTGGCAAAATTATAAAATTTAGGCTAACAATATCACAAATTAAGTGTTACAGTTTGAGTCGTGTATGGTGTTAATAAAACCAATAATCTCTCTCAATTCAATTTGCAACGATTTTGTAGTTTGAGTTCAATAAAACAAGCAGTTTTACCAATACTCTTGGCATGTTATTATAGTTGTGTGCACACTCGGCTGGACACATGCAGATTAAGAGATCAATCCCTCAAGGGAACAGAGTTCTGTTAATGTGGTCTGAATAAAAAATACCACCCGAGCCCATATATGCCTATGCCTCTCTTTCTTCGAAAGTCGGAACAATACGATTAGCTTACGTTTGTTTGAACAATTTGTAGTAAATTACAAATTATTTTAGCGGAAAATGTATGCAGATACTTGCGATATTGTAAATACAAGCATATATATATAACTATATGCGGCTAAAAATCACATTTTAGCTCGTAACTGTTTTATCTACTAAAAACTTCAAATTTCGCAAACCAACACAAAAAGTGAATTTCACATAAACTTTATATTTGCATCTTGTATAGGAAAGAACTTATACTTATCTTGAGCCAAAACTCAATTTTGAAAAACAATTTTTACATTGTATTAACGCACAAACTAACTGAAAATTTTTTTATTTAAAACAACTGGTTTTGTTTAATTAAAACAACTGGTATTTTTTTTTCAGACCACATTAACAAAACTCTGTTCCCTCGAGGGATTCATCTCTTAATCTGCATGTGACCAGCCGAGTATGCACATAACTATAATAACCTGCCAAGAGTATTGGTAAAACTGCTTGTTTTATTGAACTCAAACTACAAAATCGTTGCAAATTGAATTGAGAGAGCTTATTGGTTTTATTAACACCATACACGACTCAAACTGCAACACTTAATTTTTGATATTGTTAGCCTAAATTTTGTAATTTTGCCAATATTTAAATTACCAAATTATCTGAGACCAAAAAAAGGCAGCTGTTGCAGAATCCACTTGCAATTCACAAAATTCACAGTTTGGCCTTGTTATGCAATAAGAGGCTTGCAGTGATATTGTTTTGTCAGTAAATGAACAAAAAGGTTTGGAGTTATGGCTCTTTTTACTTTTCCCCCACCAGCAAAATTTTACAAGTAAAATTTTGTTCACATTAACGGATTGTTACAAAAAATGGTATGTGGACTAATTGGGCTATGAGGGGAAAGGAAAAAGTAATTTTTGATTGACCAAATAAAGCCAAAAATGATCGTTTTTGGGGAAAATAGTTGGACCCGAGTATAGTTTCATTAAGCACGATTAGTCTAAAATCAAACCAATTTGCGAAAAACGCGGTGTAAATTTCAAGTTTCATTCATTTTGTCCGGATAATTTAAATCAGCACTGTATATGGCGTTCAAAAAATTTATTTCATGATTAATTTTTGGAAAAGTGTTTCAATTTAATTGAAATAATTCTGAGAAGTTCAGAAATTGCACGTGTTGCAAAATGCTAACTAAGTTCATTCATTCTGATATTGAGCGCACTGCAATAAAAAATCAGCAAAATTAAAAAAAAACTAAGTTTTGTTATATAAAGTTGAGACAAACTAAACATAAAAAAATAATCAAGTATGTTTTACACAGGGGACTTACTAAGAAGCCAGACTTTGACTCCAAACAACCCACCATCGTACAAGCCATGGAAGAAAAGCAATCAAGGAATGTTTTCCTGTCTTCCCAGAATTGGGAAACACTTCAATGTATTAAACACAACACCTGAACCAAAACCCGAGTACCAATCCGACGCTGAAACCAAGAATTGGCGGTGTGTGGAATTCCTGAAAGCGGAAAAAGACACCTTTCCAGTTTTCACGCATGAAGGAAATTTTTCGGGTGGCGAGCAGCCTGATTTCAACCCGAAGAAATACAACTACTCGCACTGGAAGGTTTAAAAACTTTTCCAGTTCCTGAAAGGGCTCTTCCTCCTTCTCCTGAAAGCTTTTTTGGCTCGTTTCCTTTCCCAGCATTTCTAATGAAAATCTGCAATGAAACATGACGCAATGACGCAATGAAATTCCGCAAAGTGAACAGTTTTTTTCTCTTCACTTTCTCCCATTGTTAAGCAAACTGATATGCAGACTAATTAGGCGATGACACGTTGGGTGGAGTTGAGAGTTGGAAAAAAACTTTCTGAAAGCAAACATTCAAACTGAATATTAAGTTTGTGGACGTTTTATCATAATTTTTTATACAGAGCTTGGGCAAAATTTATGAACAGATTTATAACTTTACAGTTTTAAAAAGTAAAAGTGAAGGTGGGAGGGCATTGGGCTCTTTTTCCTTATCCCCACCTCACACGAGCATCAATTTTATGGTGTAACGAGTGGTTTTACAAGGTTGATTATGAAGATCAAATATTTTTGCGATAGTCTAATTAGTCTGTTTGTCAATTTTAATGACAATCGGACAATGTGAACAAAAGTTTTCTTTGTAAAGTTTTGCAGGTGGGGGGGGGAGGAAAAAGAGCCGGGGGCTCTTTTCCAGTTCCCCCCCCC